AGAGAGAAAGAGAGAAAAGAAAAAGCGTAGACGGAGGAGCAAAGTGTGCACCAGTAAGCCGACTCCATTAATTGTTTTATTAAGTCCTAAGGCGTAGATTATAGAACCCGATCTCATTACACACTTCGTAATGGCATCGATTCTACGACACCAAGCTCAAACCGATATCTGATCGTATCGCTAACTACCTGCGATAATTGGCTGACTCGAAAAGACCGAATTATCCAACACGTGCGTCCTGAATCAGCTCCCCAGCCTCGATTTGCCTTCCTCCCCGGAAGTTCGTCGCGCGAAAATTTATATTCTTGCGCTATTCGGAAATGAATTACTAACTGGAATTAGAGGACATTGGTTTGTCGATGATCACACGGAAAAAAAATATGGTGCACCAGAAATACTATTATTTCTGATTATATAACCAGAAATACTTAGTTGTGAACAACATAGTTGCATCACTTCTGGTTATCTTTGTGTATGGTAAGTATGACTTGATACGATTTGATACTTATTTTGACACATCGACTACACAGGATCCGCAATCAGAAATTGGTTTGAGTGACGTTTATCGTGAATACTCTTGGTTTGAGCAACAAGATATCATTTCACTGCTGCAACACCAATAATTCAACAATTGCTCTGGGGTTGTAGCAATATAATTGTTTTGTATTTTATCACAGGTTGGAATCTGGTTGGCACAACCAGATTTATATGTGGACCAACCATACTATTTTTTTCCGTGCAGAATTAATGAATAGCGACAAAGTAAGGTAATGGTTTTTCCGGAATTTCTTTTAGGAAAACGAAAAAATCAAATATCAAATTTCTATATATTCCTTAAACTTTACTTAAGAACATATTTTTATTGTCTAAGTGACAAGAATGCTCTTCTTTAAAAAAAAAAGGAAAAAACGCATATAAATGACCTGTAACCAGGATACAACAGAACAGCATTTTTATGTCACTTAGACAATAAGAATATCTTTTTAAAATAAGACTTAAACAGCAAGTTTAACGTTACATAATTTTCTCATTTCCCCATAAAATATTCTGAAAAAATATCTTTTTTTCTCTCTCTCCTCTTGCGACCTTCCAGACCAGAAGATACTCCCTTAAAGGAAATAAATAAAATCCAATCGAGAGCGACAGTACTTTGTCAAGATACGCGACATGACGCAACAAACGAGCACCACGCTTCCCGATTGATATCTATGGAAGTCGCCAACCTCCGAACCGTTTTTATCGCCGCTTAAAATTTAAAAGCCCGCTCGAGCCGCATCGCTCTTGATGGATTTATAGGACGAGATTCGAGTGACCATAAATACGGACCCTGAAACGTAGGATCACACCGCGCAATATGCCAAGTCGGTAGACTCGAGGGGACTAGAGACGCGGCGAAACGGACGGGACGGAACTGTGAGACGCGTTTTTGCCTTTTTCCCGCCTATACCGGTCTCCGGTGCACGGAGGTTTTAGCGGTAACAGCCTTCGAGCCCTTTTAATTTCGCCATGTAGCAAGTTAAAAAGAAGAAAGAGATAGCACGACTCGCCCGCGGTATCTGACCCGAGGCAATAACGGGGAAATTTGATTCGCGACTTTATCCGCACGGGGTGAAATTAATAACGCGCTCATCTCGCTCTGATTTCGCGATACACGCCACTTAAAAATAACGTCTTTCCGTGAAAAACACGGCCGGTGTTTAATTTGACGTATAATCCGCCTCGACAAATATTTGTGCAAAATATCATAAATACGCGAACGCGTATGAATTGCAGATTTATTCATAATTATATATGGTGATCGTGTCGTGCGTAACAGCTTAAATAATGTTAATTCCGCGGAACGTTTGGGAGAAGCGAGAAACACGCTCACATTTGACGCAATTTTCTGAATTAATTATTTCAGCAAAATATTACGAGTAACGTACATGTACCCGTATGCGTATGTATGAGTCGAGGATTTATTTATCATTTTCAAATTGACCACTAGACCGTCAACGCGCACAGATGCTGTTGTACACGTGCGCACATGCTGCAATCGAAATATGCTTTCAAATGAAGAATATATTGCCCGTATAATCCTTGCAAAAAGGAAATGCTAATATTTTTGTTTTCCGCATGAAAATTTAAGTAATAACTGTAGTAACTATATTACTTTAAATAATAACTGTATATATACAGTTGAATAACAACATATTTTTACTCAAATATATCACGTTTTTATTTATTTTATTTTATATTATTCTGTTTTTTTTTTTTAATTTTTATCTCTGCACAATGGAACTCTGCATATATCACTTTAAATACTCAGAGTGTAAAAATACAAAAATGTATACAAAAATTGTAATTTTTGTTATTTTGTAATATTTACTATCTTTTCCTTTATCAAAGATAACAAGATCATATATTTCCAAAACAGTACAACTTAAACTAAAACTTAAAACACTTCCAAGCAGTAGAATAACGTCAAATGATATATTAATGACATAATATTGACGTTAGAGATATCATTAATTACTAAATATTAAAATATCCTATTAAAATGTCTTATTAAAGTGTCATTTGATGTCACCACGTTTGTTTGGTTTACTTTTCAAAATAGAGTAACTTTTGATCCAGATTCTGAATCAATACCAAATTGTTTGTGTGCATATTCTTAGATGCAATATAGATTTATCTCTAATTTTTTCAAAATTAGATTTTTTCAAAATTTCTGAAAAGTTGCTTTTGAAGTACAGACAACATACCCTTAATACGAACAATCGAAAAACTTCCGCGGTTACGGAAGAAGAAAAATCGAGAAAATCCAAAGTAGGACCAGATAATTGTTCTTACCGTCTCGGCGTTTCTTCAATTTCAATCAAAAGAAGTTTCATTGTTAATTTAGATCAATGTTGATGAATTTAAATGGTCAAAGCGAGACGAAAATGTCATACAACAATTATGCGCTTCTTCTGTATCGTCCACGCGTATAAATTATATATAAAATACATAATAATATTCTCTAGACAAATAGCCGCGTGCGAGAGTAGCTGTGATCAATCATGTAACAATGTTTCTTTCATCGTTATCATGACGATTTCAATATTCTCTTTCCGTTTATTTAGCAAATAAATCTTAATTGTATCAACGCGCGCGCGCGTATCAAATAAATCGCAGAAAAGAAGCTAGACGATTTGTTTTCGGAATGCTGGACTCCCGCTCTAGTCTTTCGTTTCAAAAATAACATAAAACTCGAGGTCTCAGTATTTACGGCGTTGCCGCGCGTAAGATCGCTGTAAACAATGCAAAAACAACGCACACCGGAATATGACGCGGCGCACGGTTACGGAAATGCAAACACACCTCTGTATTGTGTAACGTCGCGATCTCGCGCAACATGATAGCAATATATACATTATACAGCTTTTCATTTAATTTGAAGCATCAAAAGTCATACGTCATACAATCTCTCGCGCACAACTCGTCGCAGTATTAATTAATACCGCGTCGCGTATAAGTGTTCTCGAGCTAGACTCGCGAATGCTACGAATAAACAACCCGAGCCAACTCTGACCGGACACCCCGGGGAAATTCAGCCGCCTAATAGAACGCAGTGACCATCGTTTAATCCTTTCAGCCCTAATTTATTTCGAACCTCGACGAAAAGTTCTATGCCAAGTTTATTTTTCAATTCGACACACATATTCAAAATAGCATATTTGCTGCTCGAAACAATCAGGGAATAATTCACCTAACTGAATAATTCTATATCTAGATTATTATAATAATAATTATTATAATAATTCTATATCTAGATAATTCTAATTCTATATGTAAGAAGTTCAATATGTGCTCTGAATGTAAATATGAATAGTAATAATGAAATAGTAATATGATATAATATAAGTAAGTATAGAAAAGATTAATATGTAATGTAATTATAATGCAAATGTAAAAGTGCAATAATTTTTATATAATATATAATGTAAAGAGTAGTAACTAAAATTTTAAAATATTCCTTGAAAATTAAAGTAAAAACACGAAGAAAATACTAAATACCTAAAGTATGATGTGTATTAGTATGTATAGGTATAGATAGGTGTGTATGTATAGATATAGATATTAATTTATTTATTTACTTATTTATCCACACACACATTTTTGCGCGATGATAGAATGATATGTAAGAATAAAATATATATCACATATGTAAGGAAATAACATGAATGTAAAAATATGACATTTTATAAGCGAAGGCACTTCAAACATTGTTTAAAGTATTAAGAGAAACGATACCATAATTGTTTCGAGTAGCACATATATCAAAAGATGAATCAAAATTTGTGGCAATAGCGTGGTGATTTTAATCCTGGAGCAGTCGCGTGAATAATACGTCAACCAACCTTTGTCGATATCGCTGTCTACCTTCCTTTCTCCCTCTCTATTTCTCTATTAATAAAATTCGCAAATTTGTATAATCTCCCATGAACTAACGTTGTAATATCGCATTCAACAAACGATATAAATAAAGAATATTAGTAACAAAAAAAGAGCATATACTGAAAAAAAAAGTGAGTGATCTAAATAAAGTTATTTTTGGCCTCAACCATATTTTTTATAATAAGATAGTAATAATAATGCAGATTAATATAATCCGCATTAATAATACGAATGCGAATTAATAATACTATATTATTATAATAATATAGTAAATAATACGTATACAAGGTTATTATCACTATTAATATTATAGTAGTAACAATTATTGCAGTAACAATTTAATAAAAAATGATTTTTTATCATAATTCATAGTAATTATTTCTCTATGTGATTATAGTTATGCATACCAAACTTTGATCCCAGTATATGCGAAACTGATCCAAAAGAAATAATATATATTTCAACTGAAATTCAACCTCTATACTAACGCGTTTATATTTATCTTTGAAATATGACTGCTCGAGGACTAAAATGAGAAAGAGAAAACCAACACCTTAAAGTTATCCCCATTTCTCACTCACCGAAATGATGGAAGTCGAGGTCGGCTATATGTGGATCTAAACATAAAGATGATCATCTTTGATTAAAATTAAGTTAGATTAGGTTAGGTTTGGTTGATCAAACAAGTATGGCGTGGATACGATCCTCCGCGGTCGTAATCCAAGTTATTCCGATAGTTGGCTGTAACGTCGGATTTCGACCGTAAAGGGTTAAACACAGGAATATAGAGAGCATGAACTCACCGTCGAACCAATCCCGTTTTGCCCGACCCGGCTCCTCCGGGACAGGCATCCTCTGGAAACTATGGTAGAACGTTGTAATCACCAGCACACGCGACCGCGGCGCGAGTATCGTCAAGTAATAACGAACACTGACTATCATACGCGGGGACATTGATCAATTCCGCAGGACTTACGTGAAAATAGCGGACAGAGTACCGACGAGCGACTCCGTCAACGCTCCGCGAAGGAATGCGGCGTACGCGAACCTGTCGAGCTCCTGCATGCTTTGTTGATGTTTTGTTGTCACGCCGAAAGACTCGCGACGCCGGACACTCACTCCCCGAATTTTACGATGCTCCATTGTAATCATCGACGTACGCGGCCGCGCGACGGGTGTGTCGATAATTGACACACACATGGAAACAAGGAAGGACATGGAAGGACGCATTTCGCGAAACTGACGCAGAAATAACGAGCAGCGCTATCGCCATAAACGACGTCCTCAACTCCCCACAAAGGAATGCGACGTTCGCGAGTGTGTCGATGACCTGCGTGTTTTGTTGACATGTTTTGCCGCTCCGTCGAAAGACGCACAACTCGACGCGCCGCCGAATTGTCGAACGTACACATAAGGTGTTGTCACGCAATCACTCGATATTATATTATCTATTGTAGTATTTAATTATCGAATGCGTTCTGATATCGGTTACGGCGATTTTGCACTGTGCACAGCTGTCGATTGTCGTACCGTCTATCTATGTCTATGGTTTTGTTCAATTAGGTTATATTAGATTAGGAAAAAGTTTCGGAACGATTGACGAAGCTTATACTGACGTCGTTTGCGCGACTCATTCATAATAAACATGAGCATTAAGATAGAAGAGATTAATAATAGAGGAACGCTATGAACCTCAATTTCAGCTTCCATTTTGCAATAAAGGGCATGATCTATCAGCCGTTGTGATCTTTGACCCGTCCGATGCCGCGTTCACTCTGAATATAATTGCCAATATGGTGCGCAATATCGAATTCGATCGATATCGCGTGTTTCGATAAAACTCCCAAGGAGAGTAGTTTCTACTCTTTTTGAATCTTATAGTTTTGTTTAAACATTTACAACGAATTGTGACTGAATATCGCAAGTTTTAAATTCATATACTAAAAAAATACTTGAAAATTTATTTGTGGGATATATAAAATTTATTCATAGAAATAAAATATACTTTATTATAATATGAATAATATAATATACTTTATTTTCCAGAGAAAAATAAACTTTATATCCCTCACAAATACATTTATAGGATATATAGTTTATTTACACTGAAATAAAATATACTTTATTATAATATACTATAAATAATATAATACACTTTATTTCATAGAGGAAAATAAATTTTATATCCCATGATTAAATTTTTAAATATTTTTTCTCAGTATAGTTATTTTGGAAAAATTCGCGTATCTTGTTCCGTATTTATTCCTTTCTTGTTTCGGGGTAAAATATTATAAATCACGAATCGAAGGTACATACTGAAAATATCATTCTATTGCTAAGGAAAGCGATTACTCAGTTTACTTTTCTGCTTTTAACAATAGTTATTTTCAATAAAAAATATTTTCTTAATAATATTCTTAAAATATATTTGTCACACATATTTTAGAAAAGGTCATTAACATTAATATTTACTTAAAAATTTATCTTTCTTTTCAAAAATTTTATAAAACTTTATAGAAAAAAAAATTAGTTTTACACAAAAAGAAATATTTAAAAACTTTTTGTGGAATATAAAGTTTATTTCTGTGAAATATTTAATATTTCTGTGAATATACTTCATATTCCATAAATAAATTTTCAAGTATTTTTTTCTCAGTATACGTAGTAAATGAACCGAATTTCTATTTTAATTTAACATATGTTTCATTGAAATACTAAACTTATTAGGACTCAGAATAAATGTCATGTTTATGATGAACTAATGATAGATTTATGGATATATAAATTTATAAAATACTTCAAACACATATAAATAACGTTCACTTAAATGTACTATATATTCTTCTGTGTATATTCGTGACTCTTTACTGTGTCGTTCGCCTACATGTCGAAAAGTTCGTTTTAATAAACAAATTTGAATAGACAAGTGGAGAGATGATTATGTAATATATTGATCTCGTTTAATATCGAAGCCTATACAGGATTGAATAGGACCGGGAATATTTCCCCTGCTGATGGCACCTGAATTAAACTAACTTGGATTATTACAACGTATATACGCGTCCTTCCGCAAATTGGCAGCAGAATTGCCCCGAGTGCTAGCGCAAAATCAAATTATTCTTTAGATATTGAACCGCCATCACCTGTCAGTTGTTTTTACTTCCTATTTGCGCAATCAATACCGCGATGTAGTTACAAGCTAAATAACGAGATCAAAAGTCTCTATGCATTTTGTCGTGTAACTTAATAGACGATATTCAGTCGCGATTCATTGCGAAAATATATTATTAAAACGAGCAATTCACGTATGTACACAAAGTTATGCAAATGACTTACTATTCGATGGATCGATAATTATTACAAAAATTTTCAACCGACCGCATTCGTTTCTAGCTGCGCGTTTCACATCACTCTCAGTTAATTAAAAAAACACGCTCTCACTTTTTAATCAAGAGTGATGAGAGTGATGGTGCGCAGCTAGAAACAAATGTGATTAGTTGAAAATATTAGTTTAAAAACTATCGATCTACCTATATGATAAAGTATTTTTGGGACTAAGATACACTTAAAAAAAACCGACGTTATTTACCAAAATTCGGCGTCGCGTATATTTTTGAAGTCATATTACTTATCTATCCTTCTTTATTACACCTCCTTCTCACCGAATTTCCAATTAATAAATTCGACGATCGTCCGATTACACATAGAAAAACGATTAGTCACAAGAACAAAAATAACTGTGTTGTAGAAACAGAGACAGCTAAATATATCGCTTTACTAACGAAATTAAATTTATCAATTATTTAAATTTCGGCGCTACGGCGAAAATATTTTTGCTAGATAGAAAGATTCCCAGTTAACTTGTTCTTTTAAATTGCTCTTTATACTCGTCGAAACATGAAACTCACGCTTCGCGTTGCAAATCAGAACACAAACTGATGCCCACTTTAACGCGACATAAAAGCAGATGTACATACGTGATTACGCTGTCTGACTCTTATTCCACAGAGTAACAATTTTACGTTCATCGAGAGCGCGATAATTTCCCCTTTCTAATGATCTTCATTTCAAGTCGCTACGACGTCTACGAGCGGAGTTGTTAACGATAGTATTGATCCGCGTGTCGATCGCCCGGCGTTATCGTGCAATGAACGCGAATAAGTTAGTGAAAGGAATGCGGAACGCGCGGCTGTGCTTCCGGTAAGTCACCTTCAGCAGTACGCGACGGCACGTAGCGCACGACTCGCTACCCCTCCCCCCCCCTTCCGCGATTCAGATAAGTATAGTCACGCGCTTCCCCCCCCCACTTTCTCTTTCGCGCCGCGGCGTGCTCTGTACATGAGTACTGCTGACACAGTACGCCGGCGCGAGAGCAAGTGCATGAGCGTTGCACGAGCGCGAACTCGAACCTAGACCTAGGGCCCTATTCCGTAACTACTTATCGACAATTGTCGGATCGGTAGATGTCGTTGCGCAGCTTTTCTACGGTATAAAAAAGCTGCGCAACGACGTCTACGGATCCGACAATTGTCAGTAAGTGGTCAGTAGTTAGGCCTGATCTACAATAGATATAGTAAGGAGTAGGAGTAAGAAATAAGCAGTAAACAAATTGACCAATTCCATTCCCACGTTTCAAAAATAATCGATTGTAATTGGTCTGTTTATTTACTGCTTATTTCTTACTCCTACTCCTACTCCTTATTCCATCTATTGTAGGTCGGGTCGAAAGCATCGTCTACAATATGCGGAGTAAGCATTTATTATTTATTATTATAAAAATAATCGTCTATGATTGGTTAATTCTTACTCCAAGCTTACTCCGCATATTGTAGACGACGCGGAATAGGGCTCCTGATGTCGATGTCGCAGCTTTAAACGACTATGGCCCAATCTATGCTGCGTTCGAAAACACACACTGTGTGCACATTACTAGACGATAGCCGTTGGAGTGAGCGAAATACAAGAGTGAAATAAAAAGAGAGGGAGAGTACTCGAGTGACGTTTCCGAACGCAGCCCTACAATAGATGGAGTAAGGAGTAGGAGTAGGAGTAAGACGAAATGGAAATAATTTATTTCGCTCACTCCCTTACTCCAGCTCTTACTACTTAATTCAGGCTTACTCCATGTGATGTAGACGGGCAAACTTTTATTGTATCGGACCAATAGCTCGCGAATAAATTGACGTAGCGCGACACGAGATGAAAAGAAATCTCTCTAACACGCGTATCTGTACCGCTCTTTTTGATTTCCTTTTTGGAAGAGTCGAGTATCGTGATCGATTGAAGCAAACACAGTCGAATACGAATAACACACAATCTGTTTTACTTTTTGTGATTGATAAGTGCGACGATCGTGCGATTCTACCACTACTCGAGTGAGTCGATCTTAATAGCAAGTGACGCCGGCTCGACACGTTGCGACAAATACTGTTTACATATAATGACATACAAAGAGATTACTGTTTAATCACGTACTTATAATACGTCTCGACGATCGCCCATCGCTGCTTTCGACACTCCCGATATTTATTTACGCGCGAGACGCACTTTCGATATGACAAAAGACACGTCAAACGCGGAGCGATATCGATCAATATGTTCATGACGGTTGTCCGACGCAAGAAGGCCGAAAATAGCTATGCAGTTGATACGTACGTCACAAGTTCGTGCGCGAATGTGTCGCTCTCCTACGATGCCTTCTGTATACTCCTCTCTCTCTCTCTCTCTTTTGGTAACAGACCGAGGTTACCTCGCGATAACTCTAGCATCGTCTTTATCTCTTTTTCCCTCTGATTATCATCGAATTTCTAATTGCCAATTAATAAATACGACGATTCTATCATTGCTCGAGTGAGCCGATCCTATAATAGCAAGTGTAAGAGACGCGACAATCGTAACAAGCATCGCTCACTTACACTGACAAACGCGGAGATTACTGCCTATCAACGTACTTACAATACGTGCTGACGATCGCATATTACTGTTTCGACGCTCCCGATACTTATTTACGCGTGAGACTCACTTTCAAATATGACAAAATGTGTCAAGCACGGAGTGATGTCGATTGATGCGTCCATGGCGGTTGCTCGACTCGAAAAGATCGTAGATCCGCGCGCAATTGGCGTTGCCGCGCGCCTACAATGCCCTCTGCACACTTAATACCGCGCATTCGATAGATCGATATAGATCGATATATCATCTTACCATTCGAGAGGTCGATAGTTATTAAAAATATTCAACCAGCCGTTTCTATGTGTTCAAACTTATTCGAACGTGATTTCTTGGAAAATACCTTAGAATTATTTCCAAGGAGCATCAAAGAACATCTATTATTCGGAAAATGGCATTGTTAAATTAACATAATACACATCTTTTAACGTTGAGTGGCGTTAGGCAGAGACCTTAGGCGCCTATAATTATATATTGAGAAATAGAGAGAGATACGTCCGTTTCTAGAGCTAGGCTTTTCTCATTACTGTTAATTAATTTAGAAAACACATCATACAGGCGTGAGGGACGCGTAGCCAAATACGGGATGCGGCTGCCCGGAAACTTTTAGCAACTATCGATTTATTGATGTTAAGGCAGCCGCAGAACCGAGTGCAAGGCATATATACATCAAATGTTTCGTTTAAACAACCGAAGCGCATAAATATCTCTATTTGGAATCGGAATGTATGAAAGGCCGATTAATTAATTAGAGCTTTAATTAAAATTTTTGCCGGATTACATCGCGCGCGTTAATAGACTTTGAATTCGCGTTGCGCTAATTACCAGGCGAAATAATACGAGATCTCGCAGCAATTTGGAATTCTCGCTTCCAGATGTACTTCGCGCTACTGGCTCTGACTACTTGTATGGTCCTATTGGAGGAGACTCAATACTTAACGGGGAATCGCTCTCTGCCGGAGTCGTCCAGCGTGCTGGAGCCGGGAACCATATCGCCGAGTAAGTTTACACATCGTCGATTGCATTGCGTGTGACGCGTGCATTGCGTAGGACGTTATAAAACTCAATAATGAATTGTGAGTTGACGCGGGGGCATTTTAATTTGTTCGTTGTAACGGGGGAAAATATAGCTCTCTCTTTCTCTCTTGGTATATCACGCATGGAATTGTGTACGAAACCATTCTCGTGTCCAAGGAGTAGTCGGCTTCGCTTAAAACGACATTTGCTTGTATTGCTTCAGCAACAGTTCGATTCAACGCAATGCTGCTTGTCTGCTCCTGCTGCGGCGTGCTGTGCAGCCTCCTTCTTTTGTACGGCTTATTGAAGGTAGGGCCAAACTTCGTAGCAATCAACATACCGTTTAATAGCATTGTTTTTCACGTAAAGAATTAATTCTAGAATCCTAAACATGGTAAAAACATAGGTAAAATTTATCCGGACGTTCTTAAAAATATATATTTTTTTTGTTATAACTTTTTTCGACTTCAGTGAATCGCAATAACACTGGTAGATTTATATTCTTCGATGTTTTCTACAAGAATTAAAAAAGGATCAAATTTCGATCATTTTTTCGAAAGTTATAAGCAGAAAATATGCTGGGTAAAATTTACTTTAAAATATTTAGGATTCTAAGATTAAAACAAGAAATTGCGCGTAGGAGATTAAGTTGGAAATGCTGTAGAATTTCGAACTGCTTCTTTTTATAATAGACAGATAGAGTGTCATACATTGAGAGAAAAAATATCTAAGAAAATAAAAAATGTTTACTCGATGTGTGTGTATGTTGTGTGTTGTGTGGATATTAATAACATATTTACTTTTATCTAAACTCTTTCATTTAAATTTATTTTTAATAAAATAAAATTTATATTTTGTAAATAGAATGAGCTATTGCTTTTTCATGATAAGCTAAAATTTTTTTCAAGAAAATGCATATACTTTCTTATTTGAGAAATATTTATATTAATATGAACAAAAATGTTATCGAATAAATATCTCTCATTTCTCAGATATTTTTTCTCTATGTATCAAACGCTGCTATTTATATTAGATAGAAAACGTGGTGAAATCCTTATCTTATTATTTTCCAAAAGAATGCTCTTTCTTTTCCTCGTGGCAATTAAATCTAACCGATATATTTCGTATCTGTACATTATATTTGTACAAATGAGAATTTCACGTCTTATTGCTTTACACACCAAAAATCATTCGTCTTCCTCAAGACGTGGATTCTCTCGGGCGTTTTCACGTTTATTATATTTGCTACTGAACTCAACGCCGTGAAAACGTGGTGGAAGATACTTTCGCTTCCACTTGGAACGTGATGAAACAGCATTATCGCTGCTCCCGAATGGATCGTATGAAAAGTTACAGGTATGACGCAAACGCGTTGTTCCCAAGAGGTATATGTGCCATTAAACGCAACGTAGAATGGACATTTGAATAAACGATTCATATATACTACTGTTAATAAATTTCTCGATACTACGCATTATTCACGGAGATCAATATACAATATATATTGGTCACTCGAACGTGATGACGAAATACGAAACGGAAGATATATATATATATATATATATATATATATATATATATATATATATATATCTTCCGTTCCGTATTTTGTCATACACGTTTGAACGCAGATAAAGATAAAAAATCGGAAAAAACCCATTCGCACGGTTCTTATACCGAAAGAAAAAATCGATAGATACTAACATGGATAACGACACACTATAAAATTTACTTATATTATACTATAAAATATATTATTAAATATATTATTATAAGTTATATTATTTACTTATACTATAAAATATATTTACTTATACTATAAAATATATTACTTATATATAAAATATTTTTCATTTACTTGTATATTTACTTATATATTATTACTTTATATAATATTACTTATAAAATATTTTTCAAATAAGAAGATATACATTTTCTGAAAACCTCAGCTTTTCACGAAAGCAATTGTTTATTCTACTTAAACGAATTTAAATCTAAATAAAGTCAATTAATAAAATTATTGGCATCTACCGAATAAACATTTGTTTATTTTTCAGATATTTCTTCTCTCAGTGTACTTATTATAATTAAAACTGCGCGACACGATTGCGTAATAGACATAACAAGCGTATCGATTTTTTATTTTGGCCTCCCAATTTCTTCCGATCTTATTTGCACTTAAATATCTCGCACAAGTTTTTATATATTCTCCCCATCTGTGCGATATCGACAAGTTCTTTTCTTATTATCTAGCAGGTTTTTTTCCATAACGGCTTGTACATATAGTAGTCGACGATAACGCGTTGTATCATCCTCTTTGCGTGCGCAATATTATTACGAGTGATAACAATCATAAACTCACATAGGCGAACGAAAAGAGGGAAAAAGAGCAAATGCACGTTAAGAATTTCATTATTCTGAGTAGCTTAGACCATGACGAATACCACTAATAAAACAAACCATAACACTTTCACGCGCGACAGGCACCATAACTGTACATTCGTGAATGCTAATAACAGTAGACGCTAATAACGAGCTTTTCGAGGAAGCTTCCCGTAACACACAAAAAGTGTCACTAATTTAAAAAAATCAACGAACAAAACGTACCGGCCGTGTGTTTTGTTGTTTGCCGGAAATTTCGTGCTAATTTCATCGCCATATTTCCCTTCGTTTTATTATTTCAAAATTCGCGAGATCGCGAATCGCGGGTTATGCGAAAATGCGTAATATAATTAAAATTCTCGAAATTCGCGAAATATTGTGTGTCTGATACGGAGCGAAATTGCGCAATAGAAATTTCACAGAGAACACGTATGCATTTCACGAATGACGCTCTCATTCCCGCGCAAATAATTGTCCTCAGGATCGTAAAATGTTGCTGATTCCATGGATCATCGCGGTGATCGCCTGCGGTTTCGTCGACGTAGCACATTCTCTGTACCTGTTTTTCGTTACCGTAAGTATTTTTTGTAACATGCTCTTTCGAGTGCAACTCTACATAGTAATCGTCGCAAATTATTTAACATTAACTTGATAATGATTGATTTGTTTATCGGCCAACTGAGAGCGATAACGCTGATATTCTGCTCGAGTTGCGATATCTCGTAGAAGTAAAATATAAATCAGAGATTAGACAAAAGATTTAACGATATAAATTTAAATTAAATTAAATTTAATCAGAATTCATGATATTAATTAAATTTCAAGATATAAAAGAAATACCGGAAAAGACACTTGTTTTGTAATTACACACTTCTTCCGTGATATATGAATATGATTCGCTGTTTTTACTGTATAGAAAATCATTATATTGAATTTACAATTAGCACAACGAGTCACGCCGTATAAACTTGCGTGTAATAAAATTTTTCGTTGGGCAATTTTGCGTAACATGGAGTTATATTTAAATTTTCCACGGTATTATGTAAAACATATTTCCCTATTTTTCATTTTCGTTCTTTTTCTGTTTCTTTCATTTTTGTAATGCCCGAAAGTTATGAATAACGGCTGCTTAGAAGGCCCGTAACTATTTCAGGAAGCGATATCACGCTACACGGAAGATATCAAAACTAGAATTGACGGTCTTACAGAATAAGCCGTGGAAAATTCGAAAATGCATTTAATGTAAAGCATATTTGCGAGGCGCTGTCAAACTTCTCGAATGCGTTTGCGCGCAGCTAATTGTTACGAAATTGGTTTGTTACAGCCCAACTTCAACCCGACAACGGTTATGTTGTACACATTGAATTTCTTCCTTCTTTGCTTGAACGTAAGTGTTCTCCGTCCAAATTTAATTGCACATTCGTCACGGTCATAATCGCAGAAAGACCGCAAAGAAACCATCAAAACTCGAAGAATATCCACAGTCCCCTGTATATAAAAAAAACATTGTGTGATAAGATAATTCCATCTTACAAATGATAACATTAACATATCTTACAAATGATAACTTAACTTCCTCACAGAATCTTAAAAATAAATTTGAAGCGAATTAATGTCAAGTAGAAGCCGACGAAGGAGAAGACAAATAATTATCAATATTAACTGATTATATTACTTATTGATCAATCAAGTGATACAGATTATTATACTTGGGTATTAATTATTATATTTCCTGAGTGACCTTTACGATTTATTTATTTTCGTAAACATTACTCGGAAAAATTATATATAATTATATATAAATATATATGATTATATATGAATTTTGTCCATATAACGTAACTTATCTAATATATGATCATATCTAATTATATATGTTTATATATAAAACAAAAATTGTCAAATGGAAAAAGGAAAACATAATTTGATTCGATTAAACGTCGACATTATGGGCTACCATAAACATAAGCATTTACTTCAATTGTATCTTCACAATAGTATTCTTTTCAATGTCAACATATATAATTATATATGATTATATATAACCATATATGGGCAAAATTCATATATAAACTTTTTTTCCCGAGTAGACTGCTCACGTAAATAATCGTGCTTTCCATGAAGCGTGTCACAAAATGTTTAAAATAACTTTGAAGCGAATTAACAAGTACACGCCAAAAGAAGACGAATAATTATTAATACCTGTTAATAAAATATTACGTATTAATTAATCGAATAATATTGATTATTATACTTTCGCAAATGTTCTTTAATTCATTAATTTTCGCAGACATTAAATCACTCAACGTAGATAACTGTTTTACAGGTATATTCGCTGTTGTGCGTCATCTCGCAGTACCAAGAATACCTAGCTGGTCGCGGTACCGCCGCACACGACTACGAATATAGGGTCAGTATTCCGAAAAGTTCACGAGGACAGAAGCGAGACGAAAGGCTAAGTGAATTACACGTTCGTAATTTTGCTCGCGAAAAGCTTATCTAACAAAATGTAAATATCGTATGAGTGTATCGTGAATGTATTCGGGCGAGATAGCGATTCCACAGATAATTTGCGAGACTATTGTATAATGGGTGTATATGGGGCTCCTCTCTGGCAGTAGTAATAGTAATAGTCGTAGCGATAGTCGTATAGACAGTAGCAAGCAACTCAATCAATATAACAACGGCAACGATAAAAACGAGAAGAGTAGTAGCGCTGAATTAACGGCCAGTTCGCCGGAGAAGTACGATCGCATGCTTTCTAAAAGCTAACGAAGTAATGAAGTAAGGGGATATCCGCAGCAACGTTCATTACCTTGTAATCAATATCCCAAGGAAATCGATTGTACGCCAGATTCCATTGTATCCCTTGTCATTTTCTTTTCTTTATACGTCAAATGTGCACCGCGTAGAATTCCCTCCTCGTACAAATTACATCGCCGTATAAACGATGTAAAGAGAGCAAGACCCGTATTAACTGTTGTTACCTGAAATTGTTTCATGTGAGACACTTGGAGTTTTACTCAAAGTTAGATTTGAGATTTTCAGTTGAATTATATATGTGACATTATATTATTTGTAATTGCGATTCAACTGAAAAACTCTAACTCAACTCAAATATTTTTCATTTAAGAGGAGTTTCAACGACTATACTATCTGTATTAATAGTCATTACTTGAAATTTATCTCACGTGAGATATTCAGGTCTAAATTTTTAGTTAGACTTGAGTTTTTTACTTGAATCGAATATATGCGACATTACATTTATAATCACGATACTGAAAAACTCACATCTAAGTCGATTATTAATATAGATCTAAGATCTGTATCAATAGTTATTACTTGAAAATCATCAAGATATTTACATTTGAATTCAAAGTTTGGTGGGAAGTTGAATCGCGATTATAAGTATAAATGTCACATTGTTCGATTGAAAAACTTGAATCTAACTCTGAATCAAAATTTGAATATCTCACGTGAGACAAATCTCAGGTAACAACTATTGATACATGCTTAAGATTCTCTTTAAAGACTCGAAAATAAAATACAAGCGAACAAAAGCCTGAAACGACTTCCTTGCGATGGTTCCGATGGTTTCTCGCGGAAGACCAAAGTAGTTTTAATCGTTGAACTTCACGCATTACCATGAAACTTATTCGACGCATTCACGTCTCATACAGTATGCTTTGAAGGTTCCAGTGGTGAGATACGTCACTCAGCCTCCGACTACGACCGCCACGTCATGTTTAAGTTCACGAAGAGGAGCGACCAACAACGAGACAAAGGCCACGCCGACGCAAAGTCCCACCGCGTGCCACAATCCTCTCTTGACAGAGAGAAGTCCCACCGGAGGTCGACTATCGAGAAAACACGTGCAATTCCCGGATACAACGACGCCGAGTCAAGTACAGAGGCCAGGTAATGTGCAGTGGTATGCTTTTGTTCCGCGGAGCTATGAGGGAGCTAGAAAGAAAAAAATTACAAATCGATCCGCTGGTGCGAGAAGCAGAAGAAAGATCGCGCATATCGTTCTTTTTGTACTCTTCGTCCTCATCGCGAACGCGCATCCCACAGATCCGTGAATTTTAAAAGCTCAATACCAATTCTCATTGTCATAGCTTTTCTCGCTCGTTAGTGAAAATTGTGATTGTTGCCACGCGCAGTTTCGCTTCTCGTCTTTCTCTCTGTCTCGAAAAATTGTTGAATATATATTGCTATGGATATATCGCGGTGAAAATGTCACGCCACCGAAATGAATTCCACGTAGTTCGAAATATACAGCTGTCGAGGGAATTGAAATTAAATGCTTTCATCTTCTCTGATTACTTGCACGCTTTCACGGCAAAACTATCCAATATAGTGCCGCGGGGTTGCGTATCGGCTGAAACTATCACCGTGTAATCGATTGCACTTGCGTGGAATTTTTTATTGGTATTTCCTTTTCATCACGTCAATCTCTTGCGTGTCAGATATGCCGATCTCCAGCGCTTCTATACTTGTAATCAAAATCTCCAGCTTTCAACGCGTATCCAAAAGCTTTAGATAATTAAAATTAAAGGTGGATGAAATTACGAATCGACGTCTTGGACAACTAACGTCGAATAACGACGATTATAGTCAAAATTCTGGAAAAAAAAGCCATAGTTACATATGACATCGAAAAAACGAATTGCTGCTTCTCTACAATAAAAGGAAAAGTATCTGAAAAATAAAAGAAACATTGATTTGTTGAGTATTAATATTTGCCTATACTAATATGTGTTTCAAATATATATTTTTTCTTAATTGTACATTATTTTCTTAAATATACATTTTTTTCTTAAAATCTTAAAACTTTAGCTTTTCACAAATATTTGCTATTTATTATATATATATATGAATAAAAATATTATATATGAATAAAAAAATTTTATATAAAAAATTTAAATTTAAGTAAATATGTTAGCAATCACTGAATAAACGTTTCTTACTTTTTAGATATTTTTTCTCTCAGTCTACGCTCATGCGACTCCTCTCTCGTGCCTCTGTTTATCAAATTTCATCGTGTAGATAATTGAATGAGCAGACGAAGAGCGCTTTGAGGTATCTGTTGCGTGCATGCATGTTTCAGATATGCCAACAGCAGAGATCCCAACGATATGCTCGCCGAAAATTGAGCGCAATAATGCAAGGGCCTGGTTGCAACCTAATGACGCCATAACGATCGTGGTCAGCCAGTCCTCCCCGTCGAGTGACGAAGGGCGCGTTCATTACTCGTGAATGGGAATGGGCATATTCGACCAAACGCGGAAAATTGTTAATAATTCAAATATATGGGAGTGCCATACGCATCCGTGCGCGCGCGCGTTTGTATGTATGTGTGTGCGCGCGTGTGTGTATGGGTGGGTGGACAGGTGAATGTTATCGATGTAAATACATAGATGGATTTTTTATAAGAAAAGAACTGTTACAAACGTCCTTGATTTATTTATCCTTCTCGGAATCCTATTCATTTATCTTTATCGTAACATATTAACGATTATCTGCGCTAAATCGAGAGAAACTTCCTCCGATTGTGGCCTTCGTCCGCGAACGAATCTCTGCGATAATCGTGACCTACCAATGGTCGCGAGGACAATTCGCGTCAGCTGCCCGAAGTTACTCGAAGACCGATAAACCGAGACATTAAACGGAGAAGTTTCCGTCGGAATGGAAGGAACTCCTAAAGGTAAGAGAGAACGCTATCGAAGCGCGACCTAAGTCAAGCACATCGGTGCCAAATTATAACTCAATCGCCGCCCACGTCGGCATATTCGCGCCAACATCATTAACAATTAATTCTCGATTTACTTTACACGTATATCGTTATTACTTATTTTTCTTTTTTAGTTTTATTTAGTTTAGTTTTGTTATTAGTTTCATAAATATAATATATTTAACTTTATTGTTACTTTTTTAATACTTATTAACAATTAATTCTCGACTCACTTTAGTACATGTATATCGTTATTTTTTTTTTAGTTTTATTATTTAGTTTAGTTTTGTTATTAGTTTCATAAATATAGTATTTAGTTTTATTGTTACTCTTTTAATACTTATTAACTATTATTTATATTATTTCGCGAGAGATTAACGATTGTTATATAGACCTAACGATTTTTCACGATCGCGTACGAATTATTATCGTAAATACTCTTCACCGAAAATGAATCTAGCCTCGTTCAACTGTCGTCCTGTTTCTTCGAGATATTCAGCTCTTTCTGTATCCACTCTAGAGTTTTGCCTTTAGTTTCAGGCACGTAAGTGTACGTGAAGACGACAGCGAGAAAACTGCACACGGTGAAGAACCAAAAAGTCACATGTGTCCCGATATTCTCAGCCACGATCGGGTACCACTTCACGATGATGAAAGAACATACGTTACAAATGACCATGACTATCATGCCGCCAAGGACCTTGACGTTCGTGGGGAAGAGCTCGCCAAGCATAGTAAACGGCAGTGTGCCCAAACCTATGGAGTAGAGAGCCATGTACAAGATTGTGCCGGTGGCAGGCAACCACTCCAATCCGTTGGTGTTCATGTGATCTTGCTGGAGATAAAAATACGTTCCTGCCATCGCGGTCGAACAGCCTGTCCCGATCGAGGAGATCATCAATAGCATTCGTCTGCCACAGTAATCGGTCAAGAGCATGCACACACCCGAAAACACCGTTTGCACGCAACCCAGTATGATGGTTAAGTACTTCCCCTGCAAGTTGGTTTGCGCCTTATCAAAGATCGCTTCGGCGTAATGTATGAAGGCCTGGCTGCCACTTAATTGTTGCAATATAATCAAACCTAGCTCGGTTATCAAGGCCCTGCAATATGAAATTTGCTAATTAAATAAAAATATAATTTTATTCTTAGAGAATATCCTCTTACATATAGTCTTTTCTAGAGGATTCTTCTAAAACTAAAAAGAAAATATTCTAAACATAATACTCTTTAAAGTTAGAGGAATTTTGTCTTTACAAATCTTTTATCTACTAAATCTATCAAATCTTCTCAATAGCAATTATTTTTTACACTGAGAGAAAAAATATATAAAAAATAATAAATATTTATTTGGCTTTATTTGATACTAATATAATATATTTAATTAAATATAAATATAAATTATTTTATTTGAATGAAATAAACAATTGTTTTCACGAAAAGCTAAGATTCTCTTAAAATAAAAAAGAAATTATATGTATTATATAATAATTTATTATTTTATGTGAAAAATATTTATATTAGTATAAGTATAAATATGTTATTACTATTAAATAAGTATTTATTATTTCTTAGATACTTTTTAGATATATTTTTTTATATATTTTTAAATTATAGATTAGATATTCTTAGTTATTTTAAATATTTCTTTAGATACTTTTAGATATTTTTTTTAGATATTTCTTAGATATTTTCTTATTTTTTCTCTTAGTAAAAGGACATTCTGCTTCAAATATACTCCTCAAAAGGAAAACAGTAAATGAATTGCCAATTAATAATTCATTTCAACAGGAAAAGAGAAAAATCAGCAAGAATTTTTGCTTAAAATATAGGATTATATAGAAAATAGCACCTTGCAATTAACCCAGGTAGCAGACTCACGTCAAAATGACGTCCAAATCTGATCAATTCGTGACCAAAAATGACCAAGAAATAACCAAAAATGTCGTGAAAGTGCCGTCAAAATGACGGTCTAATGTCACAGACCGATGACAACATTTTAGACGACTTAATGACGATTTATGACGTCTCTAAACATCAATAATACGTTATTAAGACGTTGTACAGAAACATCATTAAGACGTCACAAAAAAGACGTCTTAAAGATGTCGTTATTTAGTCACTTGACATCATTCGACCAGTTATGACTAGTTTTTGACGTTATTTTGACGTGAGTTTGCTACTTGGGAAAGTTCTTCTTTTAAATGTTACAATATTTTTCTTGTAAAGGAATCTCTTGAGACTATATATGTATACACTGAAAGAAAAAATATTTAAGAAATAAAAAATTATTTAGTGAAGGTACTAACATATTCAACTTATATTAATATAAAATATTTCTTTAAAGAAAAAGATATGTGTTATTAACGATACGATGAAAAAATTCAACCCGAAATTTTATATTAATTCATGAATGATCGTTAACGATGAAAGATTAAATTTGACGTCTTACCTACGATTACCCGGGACGAATAAGATCTCTCTGAACCCAGTGTCGTTCAACAGATCGATTTTCACGGCTTGCTCGATAGTGTCCGCCTCTTCGCTGACATTTTCTCTGCCTCTCAATTCGACAAGAGCTTTTACGGCCTTCTTCCTGTTGCCGCAGCGCATCAGATAGTATGGAGACTCCGGCAACCAGATAAAAGTAACCATAAATACAAGAGGCATCGCTATGCACACGAGCGAGAAATTCTTCACAGAAAGAAACGGGCCTATTGAATACGCGACCAGAGAGCCGAATTTCACCGAGACCGTGAAGAACGATCCCAGAATACCGCGGATATTCGCCGGCGAGATCTCGCCCAGGTATATCGGCGACGCCACATAGGTGCCGCCCAAAGATAGCCCGCACATGAACCTCGCTATGTACAATTCCTAAAGAGCAGAAAAACGAAGGATGAAAAATTTAAACGTCGAATTAACTCTCATCAGGTCGAATCCATTTGCCTTACGCGAAAATAAACGTTATCTCTTCTCATGGATATTACGTCAAATCGGGGTAATTATAGAAAAATGTTTATTCGAATGAATTCTCAAAAATAAGAAAATCAATCTGGATAATTGGAAAATAATTAGCATCTCTTTACGCTTCTTTTAAACCAAAACTGATTTCCAGGAAGTGTATTTAATGAACGTCGTCGCAATCACAAAAAAGATTTTTCGCAATCTGTATTCACTTTAAACTAACACTTTTTAACTATATAATCAACTATATATCAACTGCTAACGGCGATTTTAGATCTTTATCAACATTTGTAGCGCAAAATCAAACAACGATCATTATTTCAACTATTATCGTACTTTTATTCCTGTTTTACCTACTTGCTGTTTTGTTCATAAAACAACCTTCAAGTAAAGCAGACATACAAGTACGTTGATAGTTTAGATAATAGCCATTGTTTAGAGATTGACGGCGCTACAGATGTTGGCAAACATTTTAGATAGGAGACGATAAACGATTAGCAATCTATGATTACATAGTCAAAGATTTTAGATCTGTGAAGTAATATCTCATAGTACAAATTTTTACAAAACCGACAAAACATTTATTTTTTGGTACATAATTTATTCAATTTGTCCATAAATAATATCGCTTTATCCACCCATATAAGAGAAAAAGTTACAACCAAATAAAAAATATTGTTATGAGCATCCTTAAAAAAATTTGTCTTCAAATTACATATTGATATAGAGCGAAATTATTTATGGACAGATGTGAACAAAACTTAAGCAAACGAATGCTACGTCAATATTTACAAACTCGCACTTCGCAGACTTATATTCGTTTCGATAAAATAACGAGGTGCAGAATAGTTATCAGTGTAGTTATCAGTATTTAAATTTATTTTTGCGAAAATAAAGTATATCTGCTTCTTTGAGTATTTTAATCAGCAGCATTGTTTTATATATATATATATATATATATATATATATATATATATATATGATTTAATTTATTTTATCGGATTTGCATTACTTATCAATGTATGCTACACACACATATATATATATATATATATATATAGCATACATTGATAAGTGATGCAAATCTGATAAAATAAATTAAGACTTACACATTATTATGAAACTGCATCGCTAATTAAAATTCACAACGTTCGAAGACATTTCTTGTACTTTGAATGTACTTTCTTTCCTCTTTATCTCCCTTCCCAAAAAATTATTTCGTACTTCAAATTAAAATGTTATGCTTATACTGATACAAAATAAATGATGTTATACAAAAGCACATTCATCATAAAATTCATTAATCAAAAATAAAGATACATTTTCCAAAGATATGACATATGTTTTCCCATTTGCCCGCTCAATCAAGATAAGAAACTTCGCTCGACGAAGAGGTTAACGACCAAATCGAAATCTCATGTATTTTAATCATTAATTCAAGAATACTTTGAAACATACAAGCGATGTAGCATTTTGTACGAAGTGTCCGAATATAAATGCCGCGTAATTACCCATGGCGACGTCGCGAAGCTTATCATTAGGCAACCAATTATCCCGGGCACAGTTGTAACTATCATGCTGTTTTTTCTGCCAATTAAGTTCACGATGAACTTAGAGACGATGGCACCGCCGGTCGAACCGACAATAAGTAAGGATGCCACCCAGGAGGCTTGCTCCGTGCTCAGATGCGGAAGCTCATCTCCATCGCCGCTCAATTTTGGCAGAGCCGGCGATGCCCAGCCGAAAAATTGACCGACAGACATCGCCCCTATATTGCCTGGTAGAAAAGTACACACTCCGAAGATTACTAATGACTGACAGCATTAACACGTTCGTTATCACGATTTATTTGGGAAAATTCTTTCCACAATTCTTTCTACATCACGTTTGTTTTCATGTAATGGTGTAGACTTACTTGTTTATACGCGGATATACAAAAAGAAATGTTGTCATACATATGTGACGTTGGTAGCGAATATATTAAGTAAAATTGCAAATTTTAAATAAAGATGAACGTGAAGTGAGAGATCGATCGGTAAGTCACACATATATGACACTGGCAACAAACATATTAATATAGTTGATAAAATAGTATATTTTGAAGAGTATTAATAAATTGACATTATCCTAACAGATAGAAAAAAGCAATGTTTACAACAAAAATTAGTATATTCCCGATTGGTATATTTTCCGAAAGATTGAACCTAGTGAGACAGTACGAGGAAGTGCGAGATCTTTACAGAAGTAAAAAACACTTCCAAATGAACATATCTTGTATTAATTTCTATTAAATTTATTTCACCACGATTACTGATAAGACATCTCACTTTTGTTCTGTTTTTTAGTTATTCTCCGATGCATACACACCTATTACAGCCACGAGAAGTATCTTGTTCATTTCGATGGAGCCGTTTGCACGCGTAAGATATAACTGAACCTTGTGCGTTCATATAATAAAAACTCTTTGATAAGCCACCACCTAGCTGTAATTTAGATAATCTTGACACACTGAAGAAAAAAGGATAGAGCAAAGCTACTTTATCTGAAAGAGCATACAAATTACCAGTGTTATCACAGGTGAAGCAAAGAACTCAATATAAATCATTATTGTTAACATTAATAACAACTAATACGTAAAATATCTCGCAATACGCATTATAAGAACTTTCATATTGTCGATTAAAATCTCTTATATCATCGTTATCAGTGATCTTTGCATCAGGATGTATATCAGTTCATGCAGTTTGTTATTGAATTGACATTGAAGCAGTTTGAAGTACGATAGTGAGAATCTGAAGATTTGCATTGACAATCGTGATAAAGATGCTACGTATTTCGATTGATTCCGGATTTTTTTTAGAGCTGATGGAAAGAATGCGTGTATTTAATATATACAGGGTGTTCGGAAAGTACCGGGACGCCCGAATATCAAGAAAAATATAAGTTTTATAAAAAAATGTTTCAGACAAAAGTTGTGGCGTTTAAAAAGATGTATTTACTGATCACATCAGTTTGACCTTGGGTTGCGTAGCGAAGGTCAGGTCAAGGTCACATTAATTTTTTTAAATGGAACACCCCATTTTTCATTGCATATTCTTATAGCACATCTCGAGA